CTGTTATCGGCTAATTCGATCGACGGGGCCAGACTAGATTATTCGACCGCATTCGATTAAAAACCCCTTTTTTTATTGTTTCTTTTACATCTAATTTACACACGGGCACTTGCGTACACACTACTGCTTTCTTACCTTCTTCGTTTTTATTGCACGATTCTTATTGATTGCGTTTAATTAATAATCGTCAACTACCTCCACGACCCCTTCGATCTATTGTCGCGCTCGTATCGCGGTGTCTGCCGTGCGCGTGCGACGGTAATGAGTCGCGTATCTTCGTCCTGTGGCTGTGTGCACTTCAACAGGCTGCGTGTGGCGCCAGACGTACAGCCCAATAGAACTCTATTCCATTGCATAATATGTTCGTAGTAATTAATGCATAGCACGTGCACGAGTTTTTTATGAGGGTCCTTTCATCGAACAACAAGTGTATCGACGTCGTAAATTCATTATTCAAATTTGATCTATGGATAGCCTAGTAGTTTTTCACCTAACGAATCAATATTTAAAGTTGTTTTTTACACTTAAAATAAATAGCTAACTCTTGAATGTAAAAACGGCCGTTCGTCTAAGTATCGTTATTGTAATAAAGATCTCTAGCCGGCGCCAAACAGTTATTTATTGAACAAACAATGAAACAAAAATTTTCAAAAAAACGTGTCAAGAATACTTTGAAAAGTTACATATTTGTGCAATGCCAATAAAACTATAAAGAAAGTAAAAGTAGCTATAAAAAGTTTTTTCACTTAAACTGAAACTATGTGCTATAATTATGTAAAAATTTATCTGTTTATATTTTTTATAAAATAATGTATCTCATATAATTAATAGAAAGGTCCCAAATATAAAAGCAGCTGTTAAGAATCGTTAGCAGTAGAAAGATGATTGTAAAAATAATTATACTAAGCAACACGATTAATCATAAATATTATTCTTAATAAAAAATATGGGAAAATTAAAATAAATCACTGAAATAAATTTTACAGAAAATCATGTCTGAGGAATAAATGTTTGGGACACATCCAAAAATTTTCTCTTAAATTGTATACAATGATCCAAATTAAATCTTCAAATGTTAAGAACCAGTAAGATTCTTATTACTTCGATATACAGAAGCCTATGATGACAAATAATAAGACTTACACTTTAGAGTGATCAACTGAATACAAAAATAAGTCCTAATGTTACAACAGTCCTTTCTATATATTCAAACCCAAAAAATTTAAAGGCAGTTGAGTTTAAGTAAAACTGTAACTAATACTTTGTCATTCAATAGCATTAAAAAAAAATTTTTTTTAATAGTTAATGTAATTTTTTTAATTGTTTCAGCAACAGTCCAACCGCTAGCGCATTTAAAAATTTCACGCCCTAGCCAATAGAATATATATTATCATCTTTGAACTATCACCACCTAGTAAAAAAAAAAAACCAGCGTTTCTAGGAGGAAGGAGAAGTGAGGCCGAACAATACCTGCTGGTAAAAATAACAGCACCTACACCTAACTTCCAACCCTTACTTCAAAGTTGTAACTATTATAAGATATAAAGAATAAACATCCTTTAAAAAAAAAAAAAAATTATTTTTGATAAATTTGGAATAACTTGACAATAAAAGAAAAATAATATACTATTTTATTTTTATTTTTTTGATTAATTAAGTGGTTCGTGTAAAAAAATCACTCTGTTGTAATTTAACAAAAATCAGTGTAAATTAATGGCTCATTAAATAATTTCATAAATTCATCCAGTTACTAACTCCACTCTAGCTTTTATTGAAAATTTGAAAAATTATACTTAAAATGTATTACTATACAGTATACTTTATACTATACACGTCAAAAAAAAAAAATTAATTAAAGTAAGTATAATAGTACTTAATCATTTATCTAACTATTAAATTTACAATTAACAGAAAACATATAAAAATATTATCTACGAATAATGTTTTGCGCAATTAATAAATGGGTTAAATAACTTTTGACACTCGTAATAAAAAAAAGTAGTATTAAACATAAAAAAAAAAAAAAAATTAGAACTAACAAAAGATGATGTTAGTGGAAGGAATAAGTCATAGTGAGAGACTGGAACAGTAGTTCATGTACCAAAAAGATATCTGTCGGTTAAAATTAATAAGTCTGCAAAGTTGACTGTGGAGACACGTGAATCTATTTGTAGGACTAGAGGTCGTTGGTCTTTATAAACTATCTATGAATTTAAGAGTGTGTTATGAGTGGGTATCTGTCTGAATAAGATTTATTCATTTTGCTTGTATATTTAAGGCAAATTTAAAATATAATAACAGCATTTTTTCTACTCGCGAAACTTTAGTGGCTAAAACTAGATAATTGTTTCCTAAAAAATAACAACACGAACCTTAATCTTTTTTTGCTATATCACAATGTTATTAATTATGTATGAGAAAAGAACGACGTAGAAATTGAAAAATTAGATGTTAAAAAATACCTTTGACAATAATCCAATTAGATTTATTAATATAATAGTGAAACTATGTTTTATAAATGTCTCTATATCAATAAAGGTACAACGGTTTCAAAAAACAATATTATAAAAAATATAAGTGTAAAATTTAAGAAACGTATCACTATATTATTGAGCATATTCAGTATATGAAAAACTAAATATATTATATCCATTCAAATTGTTTAACACCAATTTGTTATTTTTTTAATGGATAATATCTACCCGTTCATTAATATTTCTTCACGTTCCTCTACTTATTTATCCGATCAATATTTTGCTTTAATAACTACTAAATTTTAAACTGTATTTATCGAATATCCATGTTTAAATGTCAACTATGTATAAACGAATTAATAAATTAAAGTTAAGCTGAACTTATTAGTTTGACGAAGATAACTAGATATTCCGTTAACTTAATTTATTTTTTGTCCAATATTAATGAGATATCGTCAACTTACATTTAGCATAATTTTAACAAGTTAAAAAGAAATATTAACTTCCCAAGCCTTGATAATAGACGAAAATATTAATAAGGTCACTTAGAAATTCTTCTATATAACCTTATAAGGATATATAGAAGTAATTATTTATACATGGCTATGTATATATCAACCAAAAACTACTGGAAAAATTCATTTAAAATGGAATATGGAAAGCAACATATGAATTGCATTATCTAAAAAAATACGAGTCTGCATAATAAATAAAATTAATTTTTGATATAAATTTTATCTGAAAATTTTTGTTTTAATTTATTGCATTGATATTGAACCTACATTTTTTGTCTTCATTTTATAATATAAAATAGTTATATAAAACTATAATTTTATACCACTAAATATTATTACAATTTGCAGCGCTATCTAGTTATAAAAATAAAGCTGTTTAGCTTGATAGTAATTATATAGTATTTACACGGAAATACTATAAAAACAATAAAGCAAATAGTTGGATAAATTATAGCTGGACAAATGAAATTTTTTTTGTTAAACAAATTTTTTAAGTGGAGAGCTAAGTCTTTTTATTGTATTTGTGGATGGATATTAACCATATTATACGGTTTGTTTTAACTAAATAAATTGGCTATAAACTATTCAAAGTGTTAATTTAAACTAAGCGATTAGTTAGCCAACTATGATATGAAGTAAGATTTTAATTATTTTTTATGGTTTTTTTTTCTTACCTTCATTCCAACTACTTTGGGCCGGCCACTCTTGATCGTCACGTTCTTTCACATCATCTACGCATACATTAGCCGTCCTCATATCACATTCAATAACATCCCTCCATTTCATTTTTGGTCTTCCTCTACCCCTTTTTCCGTCAACATTCATTTCTATAACTGTTCTTAAAGTTTCCGATTTCTTTCTCCTCGTATTTTAACTCAATAGTTTATTAATTATTAAGTTAAAATTAATAATTTCATAGAAATTTTTAGTTATATACATGGTTTTAAATCAAAATAATTCTTACATAAAAACTTTTCTTACAGCTTCTATATCCTCTCTCTTCCTAACATGACCAATACATCTAAGTCTATTTTCTCTCATCTAAACCACAATTGACACTACACCTATACTTCCTTTTATATGTTCGTTTCTTATCCTATCTTCTCTAATCACTCCACTCATCTATCTAAGTATTTTCATATCGACTCTTGAACAACCGACTATCCAGAAATGTTTTTCTTCAGATATGTTTAATAGAGAATGTGTCTTACGATTATGACACGGTTGCAAATGAAATGGTTCTTCACAGCCCGATGATTTTTCTACGGGCGATTATAATAATTTAAAGAAAAAAATTACGTCGTTTTTACAATGAGGTAAAAATGTCGAACGTAAAAATGTAAAAGACTAATAAAACATTTTCGAACTAAAGTAAGCTTTTTTTCGTGGAAAGGTATATTCCAACAAGATATTGTCAAATATTGCCAATTTTCAGACAATCACAAAATGTTAAGAATTTTAAATTATAGCAATTGTAATAGTTAGCTATCGAACAGTAAAAAGAAAAGTTCAAGTGAATTAACAAAGTAAAAATTGTACTGATTTGTGGACAAATATTATAAAAGTTATTTTTAAACAGAAATCAAATTTTCGAATGGCACACCTTGAGCTGTAACTTAAAAATCCACCTTGTTCGATATGATAAGGATATGGAATGATCAGAGTGAAAAAATAGGATATGCTATTAATTATCAACTTACCTATTTTCATTCTAATGTTACCTCTAAAGTTTAAGTATATTAAATTTATTCTTCTGTAACTATCTGAATTTTTGACTAAATTCACCTAACAATAAGTAGCCATTTTGAAGTTAATTTTTTAATAAGTGAGTAATAAGCCAATTACTTAATATCATCTCTCACATGACGTTATCTGTTCACAACCACATAATTTGAATTGGACATGAATTGTAAGATAACATAACGGCTAACGTTTATCCCTAGAAATGACTTCATTGATTGGTTAAAATTTTGGTGTTATCGGTAGCTTTTCTTGTTTCCCTCCAAATTACACATAATAGTTCATTTTACCTACATAAAATGTTTTTTGCAATCAGAATATAATAGAATAATTGGAGTATTGTACGAAATCGTCATCTGTGATTTTTAATTCCGTGGATTGTCGTTTAATCTATTGATCTCTAGTTTTTTATTTTTGTAGTTTAATGATTGAATATTAGTTATTCATTTTCATTTTCCTATGTAAAAGAGCTAACTAAATGAAAACTTGATCAAATGGAATTTTTTCGTTAGTTATTAATAATATCGTACACATTTAAGGTAAATTTAATTAGACGTTTATATTTTAATAGGTACATAAATGATGTAAACTAATAAAAAATGTTCTGTGTCGAAAAACATTATTTTGTCCCATGATGTTTGTTTAATCTTCGTTAGCAAAAAAATCATATGTATGATTTGTTAAGCAATGCCAATGTTAATAGTGAAAAATGTTTTTATGTTAAAAATATAATTTTTGTCAATTCAGTTAATATTATTTGATATTTTATTATTTACAATTTACATATTAATTGTTAGTTAATTCAAAAGTTAAACTGTCGGAATATAAAATTATTACCTAAAAAAAAATAGTGTTCATTTTTTAAATAATTAAATCAAAACAGATTTTGAGTTTAGAGAATGTAAATTTTTTTTTTCCAAAAAAGGTTTTTCTATTCATTTGCATTCATCAAAAATATTAGCATAGAAGTACTAGATGTAATGCCTCAACTGTTACTTATTAAATTTATGAAAACGACCAAATTATTAAAAATTGCTACATTTTTTGAGGAGTTAAAACTAGATGAAATTATCAATAAAAAAATTTGGGAGTCCATTCAATATTTCTTAAAGTCTCACATCTAAATTATTTTTAAAAGGGCTTTTTTTAGTCATACACTAATGAAATAATTGACTAATTTTAATGTAGGTTCATTCTTGACTTAAATCAATCCATCTTAAATTATAATATTTTTTGTTTTAAGGTTAAAAATGTCTGCTTATACCACGCCTCGTAAATCTCTGCGATTTCGCAATAATGAACCATCTCCTTTTTTTTCAAATCGGAAAAGAGAATTATTTCCTGTTGATAATTGGGATGAAGATAGTCATGATATATCACCTCTACAATCTTCTCCTGAAGTATATGACCCTGGATTGGCAACTCCAGAAACTCCTATTAATGTAAATCATACATCTATCACTGAATTGAGTCCTTCTGTGAGTGATAAATTTGAAAGGCTTATGACTGATCCAAAAAATGGTAGTGTAGATTCTGCTACTATTATTATCGAAGAAACACCTAATTCTAGATGTTTTAAAAACATTAATAAAACGCCCTTCGATTCAGACACTAACAGAGAAGTCAAAACTCCATCAAAAAAAGTTCTTGGATTAAACAAATCATATGATTTTAAGGAAGGAGTTGTTCTAGCTAGATCGTTTTATGGTGGTAACCAGGTATATAATTATTATTAAATTAATTAAAATTCATTATCTAGAAAATATTTTAAACTTATTATTAATTAGATGATAAGATAACTTAAGTTATTCTATTTATAAGTTAGAGAAGAATACAATTAACTCTATTTAGTTAAAAAAAAATTAAAATTCTAATTTTTTAAAGTATTCAGAAAATATTATATTTTAAATATATGATTAGTATATATGACCCTATAGAATTGATAGAAATCAAATTTCAATCTAAGAATTGATATCTTAAATTTCACTGTGTAAGCTTAAATTTTAAAGTTTCATTTTTACAAAAATTATATTTTAAAATTGTACTGAAATGATTGTTTCAATTAAATATTTGTTGTTTTATATAACAACAAAAATAAAATGTCTGATGGTATATGACAATTATGTTATACTAGAAAATACAATATAAAATTTTGAATTTCTAAATTTATGTTTCAAGATAATAGTGTTATCATAAAATAATTATAGTATTATTAAAAATAATTTAGGCAATACTTGTCAGTTAAACTAGGTAAAGTCAGCAATCTTCCTTTAGTGTCAATTAGTAAAATTAGTATATTTTGAAGTTTTTTGCTAATCAAATAGATCATCTACACATTCATAGTGAAATCAAATTTAAACATATATGTTGATTGTAATAGTTATATTTATATTGTTCGAATAATCCATGGATCAAAATAAAATTTTCAGTATTAATATTATATAGTAATATTTGAGACAAGTACCTTACTTTCAACATACTTTTTAAAAAATCCTTTCATTTATAAAAAAACTAAGAGGGGACTCAAGCAATATATCAAATTATTTTATTTTCAATTTTTTATAGCGTTCCAATAAAACTTACATTAAATTAAAGCTAGTATAATATACTTTGAGATAAACAAAGAAAAATTATACGGAATCTAAATTTTTAAGAGTTGTTAAGTATTAAAGCCTAAAATTATACAAGTTGAGGTAAAAATTGCTATCTTGTAATATTTTGAAGAATAACAGAATGCTTAAATCATTTTAAACAATTTCAAATTAAAGCTTATTTGATGTAATATATGGTTTAAAAAAAAAAACATCCATATATCTTATCCTTTTTAAGTAATTATCTTCTGATGTCAAAAACAATGTAATTTCTAGTCAATATGTTCAATTTTTTTAAATATGTTTTAAATACACATTAAAATATTATACAACAGTGTTTTTAATCACTCCCAAATATCATTCAAAACTAATCTCATAAATTCCTTAATTCAACATTTCTGGATCTCTTGTGCTTTATTTTTTACATTTTATACTTTGAAATACAATAATAATAATTTTAATAATCAAAAAAACTTGCCTTTTTATGATTAATGAATAATTTTTTTTCCTAGAAAATCATTGTTAATATAAATTGAAAAATATAGTTGTGTTTCAAAATTATAAAAGGACATTGCTGACTTAGCCACTATGCCTTAATATAAAGTTACAAAATTGAAATTGTACAAAAGAAATAACTAAAATAAAGAAATCTTAGATGTAGTTATTCTTCTGAAGAATATCTATTAATCATTTTATGTATTTTATTTATACATTCTTTACTAATTAATTATTTATTGATGTTTATGATTGTTTAAATAATGGATTTTTATAAATTATCAATGTTTAATAAGTAAACTGAATGCGATTAAAACATTTTAATCGCTTTTTATATTTAGCACTTAAAGATTTATTTCTTTTAAATAATAATATTTTTTAAAATACACAATTATATATATATATATATATATATATATATAACAATGTCACATTAATCTCATTATTCAAAAAATTAATTAATAGGTTTCACTTGAAGATTTGCGTGTTAAAAGATTTAATAGATTACATAGTAACCCAAAAGTTAAAGCAAAGTTGTTTAATGAAAGTAAATCAACAAGTAAAAAAAGAGCAAGATCATCTAGTCATGAACGTAAATCAAAGAAACCATGTACTGCTGTCAATTTATTCCCAGGAGTTATGCTACCATATAAAAAAAAACCAGTTCTTAAAAAGATAATAATCAAAACTGAAGTAGTAGAAGAAAATATGGACGTTGTAGAAGAAGTCAATGATGTAAGGAAAAAACATATAGAAACTCCTAAGTTTAACTCTTTCAAAAAAGATGTTTGGGCTGAGCATGTCAAATTAGAAAAACCTGAAAGAATTAAAATAGAACAGCCTGAAAATAGGAAATTTTTCAAATCAAAAGTAGTTCAGAATACTCCTTGTAGGTTAGTTATTTGTCATTGTTTAACTATCAAAGATTTATCCTGTTGTAATAATGTAATTATTTATATATTTTGTGTTGTAAATTTTCTTTTCTTTTTTTTTACAGAGCAGAAAACAGTTTCAACTTGAATGTTGTAAATTGGGGAGATGAAAACAGAATGAGTACTTTCATTAAGAATGAATCGTCTGATTTTGATAATTCAGAAGTATTAGATGATGATGCTATTGAAAAAATTGGACAAGAAGTATCTGATTTGATTGAATTATTAGATGATGAAGAAGATACACATTGTACACCTATTCGATATCCCGGTCTAACTGTGATATCACAAAGTAGTCACAATGAATATGGTAAGTATTATTGTTATTTAATGAAATTAATAATTAATATTCAAAAAATAATTCTACTAACTTTTTTTTGCAAATTTCTTATATTTCCAAAAATGTCTGATAATTTATTGTTAATACTTGATACAGGAGCATATTTAGAACTCTTTTTGTGGGAGGTAGAATGACTTGATTTTTTTTTATTATTATTATAATAAGCATGCTAGAAAAAGTATATAGCTGAACATTCGTTAAAATAAAAAAGACTAGAAGCATATTAATATTGGGCTTGCAAAATATGGACATCCAACCTAAAATACGACCCTGACATGTTGTTATGACGTGACAGTATATTTATTATGTATAATAATGTTTTTTTATTTTTAGATGAAAACTCTCCCTTTGATTATGTTAAACAAACGAAAACAATTAGGGAAAATCCTAATAATGTTCAAAACTCTGATATGCCTGACTTGATTAAAGATGCTTTTAGCTTTAATGATAGCTTAGAAGAAAAAGAACAAGTATTCATAAATTATAACTCAAGAAAAACTCAGTTAAAAGAGTAAGGTTTAATTTGTGTTTGTTATAATCCATTAAGTATGAATTAAAATTGTAAATTTGGTTTTAAATCACATTTAATCATAGTGTTGTTTCAGATCTAACTAAAGCGCTTAAAATTTTTGATACAATTATCTTTTTTTTTTTCTCAATTTTATATTATTATTTTAATTTATAACTATTGCATTTTTAGACTTCATTTGATGCATATTGTAGCTTTAATGCAAAGGTATTAAAATTTTATTACAATAAAGCTTTTAAGGTGTAATACAAAATAAAAAATCATTTAGTCTAGTGATTGTTCTACTATGAGGAATCTGTCATCAGTGTAAAAAAGAAATAACATTAATTTCATTTTTTTAAAACTCTGTGACCCGTACGTTCTTTTGAATTATTTTAGATTAAAACTTTTAAAGAACACTTTTATGATAAAATTACATCCCTAAAAGATTCACAAGTTATTTAACTTAAAAGCCTGCAACAGTTCAGTATATATTTTATTATTTCATTTTGCTATAATTCTTTCAAAAATTTAATGTATCAAATAATATTTTATAGTGTATACCAGAAACAATAATTTTTCTCTTGAAACGCTTTTTGTAAAAACCAATGAAAAACCTAAATACAGGAAAGGTTTGAACCCTTTCTAATTATATTAAAAGATATAAATATTTTTACATCATTGCGGGAGAAAATGAGTGGTTCAGAAATACTTAGACATAAAAGTAAAAAGACTTGGACTTCACCTCTATCCATAATTTTTGAATATTAATAACTTCCGAAATACAGGTTTAAAAATTGTTATTGGCCAGTCATTTCTTATTTTTAAGTCTGTTAAACATGTATATTACTATTTAAAAAATATATTTTAGTATAATTTTAGCGTGAAAAAATGATGGAGCTATTTTTTTTCTTATTAATTTATAAGAAACTAAAACCTTGAAAAGAAAATTTATATATATTTTTTTTTCATTTTTGAAGATATTGCGCGGGAAGATATAGTATTATATAATTATAATGAATTTTAAAAATTTGTCATCTAGTCAACTGTATTAATAACAGCTCTTAAATACTAAATAAATCTAATTTAAAAAAAAATGATTAAAACATCAATGATTGATTGTTGGTATCCAAAGCATTCGTAATAATAAAATATCTGTAAGATAATAGAGCGTGTAAATATATATTGTTAATATTCATTTTCAGTATTTCAAATAACCAAGAACCAGAAGAAGTTAATATGGAAATAACTGATTGTATATCAGATAACAATTTTAATAAAAGTATGTCTCCACAAGAAAAATTATTTCCAATTTTTACTAACAAAACCCCATCTCCAAATCATTATGTTCGGTAATTAAAAATTTAATTTTAATGATTACTATAGCATAAATTATTTTAAATAAATATCTATTTACAAAAATAGTGCACTCAATACTGGTAAATCAACTATTAGAAGAGTAAAAAGAATTGTTGATGCAGCTCAGTATCAAATTGATGCTGGTCAAAAGAAATTTGGAGGCTTTTTCTGTAAAGAGTGTGGACTCTATTATTCAAGAGGTGAACCTGAAGATGAAGCTGAACATGATAAGTATCATGCAGCTAAACACATATTTAAATACAATGTATGTTTTTATATTCAAATAATTTCTTTTAATAATGATTAATGATAGAATATATATTAGGTTATCAAGAATGAAAAAATAGTATTTAGAGATGAAGATGAAAGAATTATTGTAATATCTGGTTCAGATAGTAAAAATTTGTGTACTAAAGCATTAGAAGTACTTTCCTTTGTTGATCAAGAACTAGGATTTAGTACATTTAATACTGTTTTACCAGTTACTAAAAAGGTATTAAACTTTGTAAATCTAGTATTATCAATTTTGAAATTTTAAATATACTTATTTAAATATATTTTCTTTAGGTTTATCTATATATAAGAAGTAAACAAGTGATTGGATGTTTAGTTGCTGAAATAATATCCCAAGCCTACCGTAATTTAGAAACTGGTACTGAAGATATGGTGATAGTCTCTGAAGAATCATATCCTGCCAAAGTAGGAGTGAATCGTATTTGGACAAAATGGGATTGTCGACAAAAAGGGATTGCAACAAAGCTGTTAGATTGTTTTAGGTTTGATTTACAAGTTTGATTAATTGAAAATACTTTATTTATCACAATTTCAATTTCAGGAAAAACTACACATATGGCCATATATTATCAACTGATGAAATTGCATTTACCGTGCCTACTCGTGCTGGTAAACAATTCATTAAGAAATATACAAATAGAAGTGATTATTTTGTGTATACTGGTTGGTAGTAAAAACAATCTACTTTCTAATTATATTTAATTTTTCAACTTCTTTGCTATAATTTAGTATAGAATCTTATTATAATATTTTGTAATATCTACATAGACCAAGTTTCAAATGTTAAGAAAACTTATGTTTGAAACTATCCTTCTTAAGCTAATTTTTATTACATCACACTTAATATTTTTATTTAATTTTGATCTTTAATTAATTAATATAAAATAAAAATGAGTTAAAATATTACATTTATGACATATGCCATTAAGAAACAAAAAAAAATCCATTGACAAGATTTTTTATCTAAAAAAACCCATGTATGAACATGGGGTAATACGAGAACATTTTTCCTATTCCATATATTTTTATAAACTTTTTTTTTTATGAAAATATGTTATATTCAATTGAAATGTATTTTTATCAACTGATGATTTGTAATTATTTTTTTAAGTTGTAGTATTTGTGTAAATGTTTTCTAGAGATTTGAATTATTTTTAATTTTAATAAAGTGTTTTATACAATACTATTGTATATTTTTATTATAAACTAACAAATTATGTTATCAAAAGCTAAAAAACTACTTAATTTTTCGTTTTTTTTTTTTTTTTTTTTTTGTTAGACTGTATACTGTCAAAATAAATAATTTTATAAATATTTAATTTATATATATATACAGGTGATTTATTAAAAACACTCATGTTCTTAAAAACTATTGAAAATTTTAATTTATCTCTTATTAACAAAATTAAATAACTTAAAATAATTGGTAAAAATAATTTTTTACTACCATTAGGTCATTTTTCTCTAACTGCTCATATTACTTTATTAAAAAAATAGAAGATTGCATTTCATTACCTATGTTAATTCAGTAACATGGGTAATTTAAATTTAATAATTTAATTATGAACTACATTAATTACAAAGTTATATTTAATCATGAAATATAAAATATCAACAACAAAGGAAATATTCTTATTTTAAATTAAATGTACAATACTTTAATGACTAGATATTCAATTGGTAAATTATACATAATGATTTCATTACCAAAATACAAAATAATAACCTTTCTTAAAAATACATCAATTAATATAAAACAAATTTTTGGAATATTTTAAACATAAAAAACATTGATTTATTGTTTAATTACTTAAATAAAATCTAAATTATATCATAATTAAATAATGTTGGAGCAGTAAGAGTTTAAAGATATCTGAAAGTTAATCTACAAACTTTTAAAGAACTTATTTTTTAATATTTTAATCTAATTGTAATACAAATTTATGAGCCCCTCTCAAAAAGAGTAACAAGGTTTTGAAAACTAAGTACCTATATTTTATTTTATAATATGAATTGCACAAGTTTACATTTCGATAAAAAATAATTTAAATAAAGTAAAAACATGAATAATAATTATTTTAAATATGGAACGTACTATGGTACTATCTGTAGATTATTTACATTGATACAATGATTTTATATTTTATATAAAAAAAAAAAGATAATTGATCTATAGCTAGAAAGTGAGACCAAGGATTAAAGATATTTTATACTAATAATTACATTTTATAAAATATAATTTAATAATATTTGACAAGTATTTTATTTTAAATAAAATTAAAAATTATTTTATGATTAAATTATTTTTAAAATTATAAGTTTTAGTAAAAAATTTTAGAGTTATTTTAGATATAACAACTGATTCTAAAGTATTATAAATAAATTTATATTTCACTTGTTTCAGAATGACCTAAGCCATGAGACTGCTAAAATATAATTTTATTATTATTTTCAATATCTGGATTAATTACTTAAAATAAATATTTTATAAAATAATATTTTCAATCCTTCATTAAAATAGTTATTTAAATTTTTTTTTGAATTTTAAAAAAATTTTCATCTATTTAATATCAGCAAAATATATATGACTCATTGCTTGTTCTGCAGATATCCTGTGAGATGGATTACATACGAGTAGTCTCTGTAATAAATCCCTCATTTTAGTTGTTGATTTAGGAACTACCTAAAAAATAATAATTCTTATTAACAGCTTTGCAATTTGGATAGTAAGCAATAATTACTTGAACAAGAGTCATATTAGGCTGATACATTGGCATAGGTTTATAATCTGGAAGTGTGGTCATATTTGGCCATGTTTCTTCTGTAGGTGTTCCTAAAAGTTTAAATATTCTTTTTAGCTGATCATCAACATCTGATCCTGGGAATAAAGGACGACCAGCATTTGCTAATTCTTTATAACAATACAGAAATTGAATTTCATAAAATAAAATCATAACATAATTATTAATTTTAGATGTTTACCAGCAAATATACATCCAGCAGACCACATATCAATGGAAGTAGTATATAGCTTAGCGCCAAATAAGACATCTGGTGGTCTATACCATAAAGTTACTACCTCAGCAGAATAACATTTCACTGGAATTCCAAATGCTCTAGCTAAACCAAAATCAGCTAATTTTAGTTCTCCATTCTGCAATAGAATATTGATATTTTTATTCTATACATTATATAAAATAAAAAATAGTCACTTTATTAATAAGTAGATTTTGAGGTTTAAGATCCCTATGAAGAACATTGTGACTGTGACAAAAAGCTAGTCCTCTCAATAACTGGAACCTAAAAATAAAGAAATTAAAAACTAATATGACTGGCTATACAACATATTTATTTTACATAAATGATTTGACAACATTTGGATCGATTTCACCATTTAAACTATCAAAATACTTTTTTAAATCTTGATCACAGTGTTCAAAAACAAGGACTAATTTTTTATCACTATGAAGGACATCATATAAACGTACAATATTTTTATGTTTTAATTCTTTTAACAAGCATATTTCTCGAAGTGCTGATGATGGTACACCCTAAAAATAATTTTTTTTTTTATTTTAAGACTAAAAAAATAATTAACTAAAAAATATACCTCGTCATCATCATCTAATCTTACACGTTTTAAAGCAACTATTTCAAGAGTTTCCCTATTTTTGGCTTTGAATACTGTACCATACGTTCCTGATAAAAAAAAGTGCATTTAAATTTACGTTAAACTTATGTTTACAAGTTTTTAAATACCTTCTCCAATTTTGTCAAGTTTTTCGTATTTTTGCATTTTCGAAACAAAAAAAAATTGTACTTTAAAATTGATTACCAAATAAGATAATTAATATACTAACTTTAGAATTTGTATTGTATTAGATAATGAAAATGATTTTGGAAGGAAATTGATTATCAATTTTATAAGCATTATCAAAGATAAGCTAAAGTTTTATCTTATCTATGATATTATTATCAATTGCATGATATTAATATTAATATTGAATTATATATTCACTAAAAATATATTTTTTAAATTATCTGTTTACATCAGAAAATTTCTTATAACTTACATTCTTTATAAAAAGAACTAAATCGTCAATATTGTATGAATCAATTTATTTATTAAAGAATTATTTTGAAAAATTATAATTATTCCACTTTGTTATTTGATATTAATTATTACATTATTAAAAATGCAAAAATAACCATCCCTTAGTTCATTTTCTGTGTCGTAAGTAAGTTAATATATTAAAAAACTTATTTTAATATGGTATAAAAGTAGATTTTGAATTATTTTATCTTAAAATAATTTTACTTAATTGTTTATATAACACTGAATGAAAAACAAGCAAATTTTTCATATTCAGGTGAATCTCAAAGATATAACAAATCCAATAATTATTCCACTATTTTTTTTTTTTAAACAAATTTTGCATTTTTGACTATATTAAAAGAAAGGAGTGCATATTATGAACTGTACCCCCGCTACTTAATCTATGCATTAAAATACTTTTACCTTAATAAGTACATACTCTGAAATTCTTATTGATTCTTCAAAATTTTTTGTAAGAAAAGATCAAAAAAATAGCAATTTGAAATTTTCAAAAATAAAATTTTTTTTTTTTGACATTGTCTTAAACTGCAAAAATTGTTTTAAAAAAATTACAGAGTAATGATTATTATATCAATAGTTATTAGTATTTTCATATCAATTGTTGTGCTAACATATAATCTCAATTTTTTATTATAACATGAAAGATGGTTTTTTGAACTTTAGCACTTTAACACTCTTTATTTTTTAAATAGTCATATAATTATGCTTTAAATAATAATTATGATAAAATTGAAAATAATTAAAAAAAAAAATTGTTTATAAGTTTCTGCAGTGATTTTAACATGCATGTTTACTAAATTTTAGTTATACTAAAAATTTTATTGCAGAAAACTCTTAAACAATGTTGCCTCCTCATAATGGTGAAGTTATGCATTTAAATGTTGGTGGAACAAGGTAAAAATCTTATTACCTAATTTTATAGGTTCTTATATGTTCAAATTTTTTTTTTAATTTTAATTATAATTTATTGAATTAGATTCTCAACATCCAAACAGACTTTGACATGGGTTGCAGATTCATTTTTTACAGCCTTATTAAGTGGACGAATATCTAGTTTACGAGATGATACAGGAGCAATATTTATTGATCGAGATCCTAAAGTGTTTGCAATAATACTGAATTATTTAAGAACCCGTGATATAGATATTTCTAGTACTGATATTAGAACTTTAAGACATGAAGCTGAATTTTATGGTATTACTCCATTAGTCAAACGATTAATTCTTTGTGAAGATTTGGAACAATCATCATGTGGAGATATTTTATTTTACAGCATGTTACCAGCACCAAGTAAGTAGTAAATTTAAAATATGTGTAATTATATATATTTTTACGACATAGTTTCAAGTTTTTTTCAATTTTAATGACTCTGTAGACTCAATATTTGGCATTTTGTTTATAACTTCGCTTCTTTTATATTATTTTAGATCCACCCACACAGGAATCTGAAACAGTTTGTAGTATTGCTAAAGTAGATGATCAAACTAGACCTGGATCTATTGTTCGTGTACCAGAGCCAGCACCGCCACCAAATTCTCCATCATCGATACCTCATACTCATGGATATCAAAGGCAAGTTAAAGAATTTAATAATGGCTTTTATTAAGTGTTATTATTAAAATTTATAATAATCTTCACTTTTTAAATTTTTATTTAGTCGTTGTCATTCACGTAATTCATCTTTGGATATATCTAGAGTTACTGTTAATGGTCGTGGTTCAGTTATTAATGGACGTAGTAATGGTAATAGTGGTCATTCAAGAGCTGCTTCATTAGGAAATCATGTACCAAATCATCACTCCAGAAATTCTTCGGCTGATCTCAATAAATATATAAGAAATGATGCATTGAACTTGGTTTTTGGTTACAATCAAGGTTCAAATTGGGCCGATCCACTGCGTGTTCAAATTATTAAAGCTCATCATAATTGGATTGTAGTTGCTTATGCTCATTTCATAGTTTGTTACAGGTAATTTTAAATATATGTAATTGCAGAAATAACAAGTGAAATTCAATAAAATATATAAATATGAGTGATTTTTAATTTATTTAAATGTATTGCAATAATTTTTAAGTACTCTAATAATTTAGCAAATGTGTGAATTTATTTGCCTAAGAAATATTAATTTTTCTCTATATATAATAAATAATATAATAATAAATATCTAATAATCTAATAAAATTATTTATATCTAATTTCTTATTAAATATACTAAGACAATTCCAGAAAAATGATTTGGGGGAATTTAAATTAAAAGTTTTTATTAAATTAATTAAATTGTACCATTATATAACAGGATATACATTATAGAAATCATTTTATAATGCTTATATTCACTACTAAGTTATGCTTATTTATGCATATCAAAAACTTGGTAAACAAAATATCTATTATACTTGGTAAAAAATAAATTCAGAAACTATTTTAAATTCTAATTAACAAATAATTCTACAAAATATTTTTACAAAAAATTAACAGTACAAAATATTTTTTGTTTCACTTAACATATTGTAACATCAAACTATATTTAACATATCATTCATTTATTCATTTCTTTACACTATAATTTAAATTTTGTTCAAATCAAAATTATTGCAAATTTTTTTCAGGTTAAAAGACTCTAGTGGTTGGCAACAAGTTTTCACATCACCACACATAGATAATTGTATAGAGAGAATAGCTATAAATGCTAAAATGAATAGTCAAAATGGAAGTTCCGATGGATCTTCAGTTATGGTTGCAATATCTTATGGAAATCAAGTTCGCCTTTGGGCTGTATCTGAACAAGGATCTAGAACAAACATAGGTTTGAATTCTAAATTATAGATGCATTTACTTATGTAAAATTTTTATTTTAAAATATAATTTTTTAAATTCCATAATTTTAAGTGTACTAATTTCAACTAATACTTGTATATTTTTTTTTTTTATGTTTTATCTTACTTTATCTTGATTTTAGGTACATTTAATTTAAATGTTCGTGTTGAACATTTATTTTTTATTGGTAGTCAATTAGTTGCTTTATCTCCAACTGGTAAAATTGGTGTGTGGCATGCAATGACTCAACATTGGCAAACTCAAGATGTAGTACCTATTGCATCATTTGATACAGCAGGATCATTTTTGTTACTTGGTTGTAATAATGGCTGCATTTATTATATAGGTAAAAAAAAATAGCTGGTTTACTCAGTGATTACAAATGTTTTATAAACAACAAATTAAATTATAACATATTAAGAGTATAATTATTGAAATATTTATCAAATATTGATTTTTAGATATGCAAAAATTTCCATTACGTATGAAAGACAATGATCTTCTAGTGACAGAACTCTATAAAGACCCATCAAATGATCCTATTACTGCTATTTCTGTGTATTTAACACCTAAAACAAGTAAGTTCAAAATTTCAAAATAATTTTCTGCACAATTTACTATCTATGTTAAGAGTCTCCTATTAATATAGCTCCCCAATAAAATTTAAGTAAAAATCGGGAAAAAAATTAATCTTCTGATTAATATTCAATTATTTTTCTATTTTTATTTTCATGATAAGTATGGGTGACAAAATACTGATCAACAATTTATACTTCTATGTAAAATCAATTTATGTTCTTCTATAGAAATAAAAATATTTTAGAATTTTACTTTTTACAGGTGTGAGTGGAAATTGGATAGAAATAGCATATGGTACAAGTTCTGGTACAGTACGTGTAATAGTTCAACATCCAGAAACTGTTGGACATGGGCCTCAATTATTTCAAACATTTACAGTACATCAAAGTTCAGTAACTAAGGCAAGAATTTTTAAATGAGTTTATGCTCTAATTTAAATACTAATAATAAAAATATTTAGGTAACACTGTCAGAGAGATTTCTTGTATCTGTTTGTAGTGAATACAACCATGTAAGAACATGGAGTGTAACCAGATTTAGAGGAATGATTTCAACTCAACCTGGTTCCACACCAGTTGCTTCATTTAAAATATTATCTCTTGAAGAGGTTGAACCATGCATTAGTTATTGTGCTGGTAACGATTGTGGTATGTTATTATTAATATTTACATTAGTGATATGAACTATAAATTCTTTTCAAGGCCCATATGGTGAACAAGATGATGAACAAGTATTTGTTCAAAAAGTTATGCCAGAAACTTCTGAATTATTTGTACGTTTAGCATCCAATGGTAAAAGGTAACATTTTATCATAACAAATAATATACTTATTATATATTACTTCATATATTATGAGAATTTATCTATTTTTATTATTTATGTAAATTAAAACATTTTTTTAATTTTATTATAGAGTTTGCATAATTCGAGCTGTAGATTGTACAATTATAACATGTTTCTGTGTTCATGAATGTGAAGGATCTAGCAGAATGGGTTCTCGTCCACGTAGATTTATATTAACTGGACATTCAAATGGAACTTTGCAAATGTGGGATTTGACAACAGCTTTAGATTTGGCTAATAAATCACTTCGTAAGATTTTATTATTTTTTTAAATATAATATATAAATAGATAAATTAATTATAATCATCTTAACTTAAAACATTTTTCCCAAAAAAAAATCTGAAATATTCTTTATATTTTGATTTAAAATTGTTTTATAAACACAGAAATGTTTAAAATTTAATTTGATATTTCATTTTTAAAATATATTATGATAAAAATTTTAACATAAATTATGTTAAATATGAGTTTTTAATAATACTAGCTTTATTTATGAAGCAAAAAATTATTGTTTAGAATTAAAAAAAACAATTTTAATTCTATAACTGAATTGTCAAATAAATTCTTTCTAATTTTCTAATATTTATTTTTTTTTTTTTTAGAGTCAACTCCTAATGGAGGTCCAACAGCTGAAGAATTATTAAGACTACTAGACCAATGTGATTTAAGCAACAGTCATTGCTCGACACCAAGTTTATCTCCTTATCCAGGAACATTATTTTCTAGGGGAAATGCTGCTAGACTAAAAGCTTCTAATGTTGCATTTCTTAATCAATCACAGCAAACTGATGCTTCAACTTCAACATCTTCTTTGTGAAGACAAATCAGTTCTCAATTTATAGAATACATCTATATTTAATTTGTGATAAATATTTACTTAAAGACATTAATAATAATTTTAAAAAAAATGTTGATTGAATCTCTATACTAAATTGTTATAATATAATATTTTTCTTTAACAATGCAAATACTATTAGTTATTTCACTAGTCTTTTTTTTTTCAAAATAAATTGCCAGAATAACTTAAAAATATGAACTAAACTATTATATAGTTCTAACTTTAAACTGAACTTCTTTAATAAAATGTTCAAATATTATTCTTGATATTTAGGATTAAGTCTTAAGATACTTATTAAAATGTACTCAATCTATATTGAATAATTGTAATACAAATCTTGTATTTTTTTTTAATATTTTAATAATATTTTTTTTTAATTTTAAATGTCAGATCTAAAATATTTTTATGTATATTACAATGATAATTTGTTATTTAATAGAAATGTATTTTAAAAATTATATTTTTATATTATAATTATTTAATTTATAAATATAATTGTATTAGTGTTTTTTTTTTGTTCAAAATAAGTTATTTTATAATTCAGTTAATATTTGAACAATTCATGATAAAGATATTGCCTTCGTTAGTTTTATACTTTAAGGAGGCACTAATAAGATATGTTTTTTAGCACAACTTGGTTTTTATATTTCTTTTTAGAAATAATAGTTGATATAATTGAACTTAGTTATTTTTTCAAATTATAAATATACTTATCTACTTGAATAAATATTTTATAAAATTTTCAATTTATGATTTCATTGTGTATTTAAAAAATATATATTTTATTTTACTTGTAATACCTATTGTAAATTATAATAAGCCGTATAACTTACTCCTCAGTTTTATCACTATTAAAACGTTTTTTTTTTTATTTAATTTGTAAAAATGTGCAATATTTAAATTTATAATTTTTAATTTTGATACAATAACTAATTAAATAATGTCATTCATATCACATTTTCTTAATTAAATGACACTCGTATTATTATAAACTTGAATTTTTCTTTAAATTACCCAAAATTTTCTTATTTATAAAGAAAATTTTATTTATTTATTTATAAAGAATATTTACAAATTTGTATTTATTCATTACAGAAAATGCCCTATCTTAGAGATCTAAGCAAAGGAATTTATTTTACAATCCTTATCTAAAAAAGAAACATTTTCAACAAATAATTATTTTCTTTATAGGAAATTCAAGTCCTGTAAGAACATCTCTGATTTAATGTCTATCATTATTTGTACAGTTAAAACTAGAGTTTCTCTTCAATATAATTTTATATATTAATATTAATTGACTATTATCAACATCAATATTGAACAAATATATTTTTTTTAATATTTAAACTTAACTAGTTTTTTCTAATTTGTTAAAATAACTAGTTTAATTTACCTTTTAATAGTATGTTACACATCATTTTTTTCAGTTAATGAGTTTATAACTATTAAGTTCTTTCTTCTTTTTTCTCGCCTAATTCCAAATACTTAGGGTTGTTCACCCTTATCCTAAACTTCCACTTGATACGATCTCCCACATCATCTATGCTCACATTAACCGTTCTCATATCACATTCAATAACATCCCTCAATCTCTTTTTTCTTCCTCTATTTCTTCTTTCAACATTCATTTCTATAACTGTTCTTACAGATTTAATAATTAAATATACACGTCATTGATATAATATAATAATATTTATGTGATAAAAATAATCATCATTAAGGCTACTTGCAAACTCTTAGATATAAGAATAATTTCACAAATAGTATAAATAGGGCCCTTGTATATGTTTATGCTGATGTACACTTAAAATTATAGTGAACATTTTAATATAAATACTTATTGTAGGTACTATGAAGCTGCGTTAAATTGATTTTTTCCCCGACTCTTAAATAATAATATATTTACATAACAATAAATATAATTCTGTGAGTTTAGTTCTTACAGAAAATATTAGTGATGAGCATTTTCGAGTATTTAAAACTATCGAATAACTAGTCGAATTGTTTTTATATAACCAAATAGTTTATTTTTATCATAAACTATCGAATAGTTTTTGAATGACTATGGAATAGTTCGATAGTTGCTATTCGATATTTCCAATCACTGGAAAATATATCACTTTTTAAGATCTTCAAAATGATTTGAAAATAAGGAAATGAACTTTTTTTAAACTGAGTTAAGTTTAAATTCATTTTTGCTTTAATTTTCAACTTATCAGTATTGTTTCCAATTAACATAAATTAATTATTTCATCAACTTTCTAATCTTTGTTATTGAGTACTGTGAATATAATATTCATATAAAAATTATTTGTAAAAAAAAACAATTTAATTTAACAACATCAATACACAAAAGTATGTAACTTTTCAAAAAGTTATTCTACTATTAACTTATGTTTGAAATATAGAAATTATTACTATTTTTTAATGTTACAATTTATTTATTAATTAGTATTGCTATTTTTAAATAAATTAAACTAAACACATTAATTTAAAAAAAAAACCCAGTACAGGGGGGTCGCAACTGGTGACGTGGCATGGTTGGATCAAGTATAATGATATCTGACAGTGATTAAAATCACATAAAAAAAAAACGCTTCGATGCAAATCTTTAGTGTTTAATTTTAAAAAAATTGGTGGATTATTCCAAAAGCTACATGATCTGTTAGTTCCTTATTAATATCTTGTTTAAGATAAAGTATGTCGAATGAAAAAGGGATTATTAAAAAATATTATTTCTCATAAAAAAATAATATTGATCCATACACTTATCAATAAGTTATAGCATTATAAAGTTAAAAATATAAAAAATAAAATCAAGAATTTTCACACGAAAATAGCATTCGGTAGCCATTTTCGCAGTGAAAACAAGTCTAGACGTCAAATTTTTTTTTTTCAAATTAAAGTATATTACATTAGCTTTAATTTAAGATAAATATAAAAGTGTCAGACCTTCCGGAACACTTTCAAAAGTTAAGTTGAAAAAGTTAATTTTTTGTGAAAAAGTTTGAATCCCCCCCTGTAGGCAGGTAAAAAGTCAGATTTATAAAAAAAATATACCAAATAATAAGTAATGACATCAAGCATCTATATAAAAAAAATTAGATTGATATGTTCATTTTTGAAAAAGTTATGGCAGTTTTTAGTAAAAAAAATTGAAAAAATTAGCGATTTTTAAATTTGTAATTTTTTTGGAGGTTTCCCCCATTTACAGGGAACGAGGGAAATTTTTCCAATTTTTAAGTGTAATGTCTTCGACTAGATACGATTTGTGATCTTTTGACGTATCGTTGAAAGAAATCCGTTCCGTGAGAGCTGTGAAAAAGTGGTAACAGACACAAAAAAAAACACATCATAGTAAAACCAATACCTTCACAGCTTCGCATCGAAGCTAAAATATGAAATTCCAGTGAATCAATATGTTAGAACTACTTTTTCAATATGTAAATGATTATTAAATAATCAGCCATATTTTTTTCACCTTTTTCAATAGAGCCAAAAAAATGGCTATTTGCATATAATAAACCTACTCAAAAAAAGTTTAGTACTTTTTTCATATAAACTAAAAAAAAATTAACATGGTTGTCACAAATTTTAATTTTCTCTAATCTTTCCAGTCAATTTTTAAAAAATTTCTTACTTAACTTAAGGAGCAAAGATATATATTATTTATGTAAAGGGTGTCTGATTTCATCAATTTCCCTTATCTTTTCAAAATTTTCTAGACTTATGACAACCATTATTAAAGAGTGTTCCATTCAATGTATAATTATTACTTATTCATATATGCTTCTGGTTAATACATCTAAATTGGCATACTTGTTCCATAACCTTCTAACCATTAATAACATTATAATAATCTAGTCAAAGTTAAATATAATTAGGGAAAACCTTCCTATTTTAATTAAATTGTAAATTATAAGTTTTCTTTTAATAACAAAAATTTCTAAAAAAGTTGGAAGGTATAAATTTTATGAATAATTTATTTGAGGTCATTTAGACTAATGCAAATGTTAAAGAATCCATTAATAAATCATAATTTGAACTATAACAACTATTTAATAGATATATTTATTATATTAACATAAAAATGTTTATCTAAAATTTAATTTGGTAAATTGCATACATTTCAAAAAATTTGTTGGGACACTAAACAAAAAATAAATAAAAACATAAAAAATCATATACATACAACAAATTTAGACAATCAATAAATATTTTTGAATATAATTATGTTAATAATATGATATAAATATTTTGAAATTAAATAAGTTAAACTATCAAGATCTACACATTTTAATAATAGCTCTATAAACACATTAAATAATTTTTAATACATTAGTATTAACTTTAAAAACAAATGTATATCTACTTAGCTTTGCCTTGAGCAGCAACTGCTTCAATAGCTTTCCTCACAGTTTCTTCGTCACCCAAAAATTTCATTGAAACAATAGGTTTAAAATTTTCATCCAATTCGTATTCAAATGGAATACCAGTTGGCAAGTTTAAACTCATTATTTGATCATCTGTCAAATCTGTGAAAAAATTATTTGAGGTATTATAATTTAAAAAATATACCACAGCATAAATAAAATTTTAATTTTATAAATAATTTCCTAAAAGTGTAATAATCATCAATAGTTATTTTTTTTTTAACATAACTCTAATTATTTAATTTTTTTGTTAGAAACTAGCATTGTACAAACAGCATCATTTTTAGAAAAATTATAATAAATAGAAATGCATAGAAGTACTAATGTTATTTTAATTTCAAATATAAACATAAATCAAACTATGATTGTTTCTTTTAATAAATAAAAATAAGACTTAGATTTAAAATTTTTTTTTAAATTGTTAATTGATTGGAAAAAAATATACTTACTATCTAAATGCTTAACGATTCCTCTAAGACTATTTCCATGAGCTGCAATGATGATTTTTTTCCCTTCTTTCAGTTGAGGAATAATAACATCATTCCAATAAGGTAATGTTCTTTGAATTGTGAGTTTTAAAGATTCATACATAGGAAATTCATCTTTTGATGGTTCTTCTTTGTAACGTTGGTCATTGACAATTTGGTCATAGTATGCATGATCAACTTCCATTGGTGGAGGTGGTGTATCAAAACTTCGTCTCCATATTTGAACCTATAGTATTAATTAGATTGAAATAATTATAAACAGTACATTCAAATTCTATATTTGTATAAAAAATAATTTATTTTAATGTGTACAGCCAAAAAAATTTAAATATTTTCATTATGTAAACTAATTGATTTAATTAATGGTTTTTATGTGTACATTTAAATTTATGTCACACTAATTTTATTAATTATTGTTTTTAAGTAGAAAAATGTGCAGCCTTTTTAACTTTGTAAGTTACCTTTTAAAAAACAAACCAAAAATATCATACAAATTTGGTAAAATATTTTTATGCTTTTTCTTTTAGTTTTATGTTCTTATTTATTGAGATAAACACAATTTTAAAATGAATGGACCTATTCACTTGTTTAATTTTAATGTTTAAAAATTTTATTACTTGCTGTTCTCCGTATTTAGCAGCAGTTTCAGCTTTATTAAGTCCTGTAAGACCACCATAATGTCGCTCATTTAAACGCCAAGTTTTGTACACGGGAATGTTGTTTTGACCAAGTTCAGTCAGAATAGAATTTAAAGTATTTTGAGCTCTTTTCAATACAGATGTATGTGCAACATCAAATGAATAATTATTTTGTTTCAAAGCTTTACCAGCACTTAATGCTTCTTCTTCACCTATAAATTAATATAATTATTTAAATAATTATTATAATTAATGCATTAGTAATATGAAATATAATCTTTATTAGATTAAAGTTTAGTTAGTCATAAGTAATATGTAACCATTGGCGAATGCATACCTTTCGTACTTAAAGCCGCATCAAACCAACCGCAAAAGAGGTTTTTTTGGTTCCATTCGCTCTCACCATGTCTTATCATTACAACTCTGTACTTCGACATAATTTTTCAAAATTTTTCAAATATGAATAAAAATAACTGAATAAAAATTTAAAAGTCGGTTTGATTTTCTTTTAACCTTGCTTTAGTCGAATGTCACACCACACCACTCGGTATCAGGACGTAACAAAAATTAAGATAACTAGTCAAGAAGACGTCAGTACCAAATAAATTTTTTTTATTGATCATTAAAATAACCACTAGATAGAAGCACAACAATAATAAATTATGTAATTGATCAATAAAGTTAAACATTTTTCACATTTAAACAATAGAAGATTCCGTAGATTTTTGGCCGGTAATTTATAGAGAACACAATAACTAATTAACACATAGTTGTAAAACACAAACTTTCGTTTGTGCATACGAAAAAATATATAATTTAGATAATTATATAAATTAATTAATTAGTATATAATTTTTTTTCGTAGACAGACTTTGAGGTAGTTATGGGAAATTTCATAAAGATTTACTATCTAAAACATCATAGAATTCAGGTACGTCATATGGGAAGGGGCAATTTGTCATTTGCCCCAATCTAAATTTTAATGACTTACTGGGACTGGTTAACTTCATAAATTTTCAAGTAATACATTTGTTATAATTCAAAAATATTAAACAATAATCGTTAAGTAAAAATAATGAAAATAAATGAAGGGTGATGGGCTTAGTGAGAACCTGATGTTGTGGTTCTATCGGGGTCGTATGGTTCAAGGGTTTAGAACGACAAAGACAAGTAGATATGAAAATATATATTAAGTTCCTCTTATAGAGGTATAATAAATTTTTGTCTGGTTAGTTTCTAATGTCCTATCTAAGAGGCAACGAAACGGCGAAGCCAGTTCACGAATACCTCGGTAACGAGACGGCAGAGCCAGTCCACGAATACCAGAGCCCAATTTATGCAGTAGAAATCACGCTAGGTTTTTTAAAACATCTTTAAGGCAACGAAACGGCAGAGCCAGTTCACGAATACCATATAACGTGATTATGTATAATTTCTTTAACCAACCAGTCAAAATTGACACTTTAAGATATTAATTTAATAAATGATCTATTGCTTTGTCATCCTTTACTCAAATTTATTAACTCCAAATAATTGGGATAACATAAAATTACTTACTTCTTTTATTCTTGTAAATTGCTTGTAAAATGATTTGATAATTATCTCGATATGTTTATATATGTTTAAAAGTATTTAATTCGCACTTCGTCAAAAGATAAATAATTAAAACAAGTTCTTTTCAAATATAAATAAAACGCGTAAAAGTCAGCCGACAACAACACAGGGCTGTGACTGATAATTGTTTCTTTTTATTCTTATTTCAATTCGGAGAAAACGAACTCTCTTGGTCGCTGTCACTTCTTCTTTTTTTCGTCTCTCTGGAGTCTTTTCCTGACTCTCTCCAGAGTTTCTCCCTGACTGAAGTCTGAAAGGATTTCAGTGCTTTTTATAGTAAAATGATAGTACTCCCAATCCAGGGATATTGTTGTCAGCGCTTTTAGTGATATTTTTAGTTTATTGTATTTAATTATACATTACATGATTATTATATTGAGATAACATATTTAACAATTAATAAATTGACATATATATAAATAATAAGAAATTGTGTTGAACATCGTATTTATGACAGATAAATTATTTGTTTGTTTACAAGTTATTTAAAATACAGATTATACATTTTTCATTGATAATTGTAAGATGCGTAATGCAAAGCATTGAGCATATTACGACACATTAAATTATATATTCCAGAGGTATTCAAAGCCAAATTTAGCACTTTTCCCAAAAAATTAACTTTTGCTATGGGAGCTATGAACGTTTCTACGAGAGCTGGAGTTCCTTTGGGATAGTTTTAGTTTTAGTTATTATTGAGGTGGACATAATGCCCATGCACTCAGACCTGTTGGTCCATTGTGCGCACCTCATACCGAATTGTCTTGATTCGGTTTACCCACCTAAGTGTTATCACCAAAGTGTTAATACATTACCAACCATAAGTCACCTCTAGAGATGACCAAAGAGTCCTGTCTTTCTGGCGAAATTAAGTATCTCTCTGGGTTTTAGGTTTTTAATATCCTCTTTTTCAGGAAATGGTTTATTCAAGTAGTTTGATCTTAGTGTGGACAAGGCTTCACATTCGCACATGATGTGAAATGAGTCATCCTCTTCTACTCCACACTTCCTGCACAATGGTGATTCCGATACCCCCATTGCGTTAAGATGCTTAAGCAGGTGACCATTCCTTTGGGATAACTACTCTAATGATCTTAAATCTATAATATAGTCTTTTTCTAATATTATTTAACGTCCTCTCAACTAAGAAATGTTATGATTTTCTTTTTTTACGGAGACCAATGTGGTCACCTAGAAAATAGTGGTTTCCAGCTAGCACTCTCCACCGTCAGTAATCAGTTGTCGCGACGGTCGGTGTTAGCCATGTTTCCCGCGAATAGTTTTGTTATGATTTGTTAATGCTAAGAACTATTAAGAGTTGTTCACTAAGAAATATGCTATGTAATTGTAGCTAGTTGTTTCTTTGTTTTAAAATGTAGTCTAAACGTTTAATTAAGAGGAAAAAAATGGTTAACAGAAACATAATTCTTGCGTGAGAGCAGTGACGGCTCATGGCTTGGACGACGGAACGATCGCATCCCATACTAAAATTAATTAAAAAAAAGAAAATTAATTGTACATTCTTAATTCTACAATTTTTAAAAATATATTTTATTAAAAATGCAAACATTAAATAGTAAAATAGTTATAATACATTTGGCGCGTGTGAACATTAAACTTGTTTCTCTCAGTAAATGTGACGGTTACACATTCACACGGGAGCAGTGTTTGGACGACCAACAACGTCGTCCGAACAATATTCTGAAACGTATATAATAAGCGAGGCGTCCAATCGTGTGCGTGCGGGTTCAGTTGCGATCTTATGTGCGGGTTTTGGACGACCGGCAGCGTTGTCCATACGGTAAAATATTAGTATATTACTATTTTGGGTAATTTATTTTTAGAATTGACTGCGTGTGCGCTCGTCGTTATCGGGGTTGCGATAATAGTATAATCGTTATTATAATTATTTTTTATTTTATATTTATATTTACCTTTAAAATAATAATATGTGTATTGTGTTTTATTATCTTATATTTAATTTGGCAATTTTTTATACCTATGACTAGAGGTATTATATTTTAAGTCATACCCCCACCACCAGCACCCACAAACCATCATTGCGAATGAGGACGGAAAACTTGTATAGCTTAGCGGTATTCAACCGAACCTCGATATTTGCACAACGCGTTTCCGATCAATCTAGTTAATTGATTAGCCGAGTCAATGTTATCTTATTATATAATAGATCAAGGGAAAAAACGCTTTTCTGGGAAAATTACTTAGCGTGCTCGAATATTCAAAATTTTTTTTTTCAACGTTAGTACTCGGTCACCAGACTCCGGGAAAATTATTGACGAAGGTCGGAAAATTTTTGCCGCTCGCCCGCGAGCGTTTTAAAATTTCCACCGTTTTCGAGAAAAATGCTCGCTGACGCCAGCGTTTTACGACTTAAGGTTTGAAATTTTCACCAGACCCGCCCAATGACATTCCTGAGATATGATAAAAAAATCAATTCAATTTTCACCGTTTTACAAGCTGTTTTTTTTTTCCACGCGCATGGTTTTAATGTGCGCAGTGATTCATTTCTGCTCATACGTTGGGTTATGAACCTTAATTATATGGTGTAATTTGTATTATTATTAGGACACTTTTTTGCATTTGCACTATATTTTATCAAGGAATATTATATGTTATACATAAATTTCAAGACGTTATAATTATATAAGTTTTTACTTTCATTATCAGAACAGTACATTATTAATAATCTTTTTTTTCTCATATATGATTTATCTATCATCTATGATAACTATGCTGTTCAACGTTAAACCGCAATTACCAATATTTTTATCAAAATTAAATTTTTTACAATGTGCCATGTATAATAACCTGCTAATTTTTTTTTTTAATTATTCTATAATATAAACACAATTATTATAATTAGATTATTAATCATTTTTGTGTATAATAGGGATGTATTTAAGAGAGATATGGGCCCCCCTTGAACCACAGCTATCAATATTTTTTAAGCAACTTCTAATATATAAGGACCTAATGTCCTTTTTTTTCATCATTACTTTAATTTTAGCAAAAAAATTTCTATAACATGTTTAACAAAGTAAAAAATATTAAATTGTCTCCTAAAATAATTTTTGAATAAGCCTAAAGGGAATACCTCATTAACAAACGTCAACCTTATACCCAATACAGTTTACTATATTCTCTTTTTGAATTTTCCTGATTTTAATAATAACATTTTTATATATACTTTATTGCACTGAATCTGATACAATATTTTTTCTGAAAAACACTTATCGTGACCGGCGTACCCCTACCGGAATCAGTGGCCTACTTATGATGACGGCCCGAAGAGGCTTACTCGTCGAGTGCGCGTAAGGCTCGAAGGGCTCCGGGTCTGGTGCGGAGCCCCATAGACTATATTTTATTGAATAACCAAGTTTTATAGCACCATTGATCATACAATAATTTTTTTTTAGAATAATAATTTATTAAGCGCATATTTTATTGTTTTTTTTTTTTTTTACACATACTTGCATTATGATTGGTTCAAATAATTCGGCGCTCTAATTATAATTAAGTAAATAACATACAGAGTGATTCGTCCCTTCAAGGATAAAAAACTTAAACTTTAATTATTCCTTTTTTAAAGTTTTTTTTCTATCGTACACCAAACTAAAAATAGTAGTTTCAATTAAAGAAAATTAAATTTTAAGTATTTCATTCTAGAAGAAATAAAAGTAAAATAACTTGATTACATATTTTAGAATTTTTTTAATCGATTAATATTTACCTTTGCGTAAATTTAAAATGTTCAATAATTACCAAGAAAATCGTTAAGTACATTATCCTTAGTCATTCTGTATAATATATTGATACGGTCCCGCGACCCGCGCCATCTTTGACAACCATAGTCCTTCTACTACGCGAATAAAGTTATTTGTCTGACGAACAACGCAAGTCATACGCCACAGTACAAAGTCCAGCAAATGCCGTGCGCCCGACGACGACTTCGACGCAAACATATTACTTACTATATGAAGTCTGTGATACATTTGCTATGCAGAATGTTCAGTGAGTAAAGAAACGGGTCAATTATTAAAAACAATGAGAACAATAGAAACCCGTTTCCTAACTTACTGAACACCTATGCAGATTACACATAGTCAGTTGAAGTCATCTTCGTGACATCTTATGACACGCATCGAATATTACTTACTTTTTTCCGCACGTCGTCAACCAACGTTTGTTTGTCCTTTTGTGTGTTTAACTTGTTTATCAGTGGGAGTAAAAGGCTTTACGTCAATATTTAATTGTGAAATATTGTGTCACATTTATTATGTATCAGTTTTACATGGCACCCCTTATCAATATATAGTTAATCGAAATGTATACATTATCGCAGCTTCAGGTTGTTATAGTATTATTATACTAATAAAAAAACCCAGCACAGTGAGATCGTGGCACAGAGGTGACGTGGCATAGTTGGATCAAGTATAATTATATCTGACAGTGATTAAAATCACTATAAAAAAAAACGCTTCGATGCAAATCTTTAGATAGTGTTTAATTTTAAAAAATTGGTGGATTATTTCAAAAGCTACATGATCTGCTAATTCATTAATAATATTCTAATTAAGATAAAGTCGAATGAAAAAGGGATTATTAAAAAATATTATTTCTCATAAAAAAATAATATTGATCCATACACTTTTCAATATGTCATAGCATTATAAAGTTAAAAATGTAAAAAATAAAATCGAGAATTTTCACACAATAATAGCATACGGTAGCCATTTTCACCGTGAAGATAAAATAAAGTCCGAAATTTTTTTTTTGCATAATAAAGTAAACTACATTAGCTTTAATTTAAGATATATATAAAAGTGTCAGACTTTCCGGAACACTTTCAAAAGTTAAGTTGAAAAAGTATATTTTTTGTAAAAAAGTTGTCATATTAAATGCAGATTTAGCGTCAGATTTATAAAAAAATATACCAAATGATAGTTAAAGACATCATACATCCATAAAAAAAAGAATTATATTGATCCATACATCTTTCAAAAAGTTATAGCATTATAACCAGTCATTTATTTGTTTAACATTATTATTTTCTATAAGCTTTTATAAAATTGTTCTATTTTGTATTAACAGTACGTAATTAACATGTGCTACCATAGTTTCGAATGTTTTTAATTCAATACAAATACTCTCATTACTTTTAAGTCTACTTTAAAGTGTATTTATATGATAGATTTGAAACTGAATACCATAAATCTTAAAAGAGATAAAAAATACAATGAGCTTAAAAAGAAGAAACAGTTATTTTGACATAACTGATAATGCAACATTACAGTGCTTGGCTAGTGGCATTAACTATCCTATTGGAGAGACTGAGGTAGATTTTTTCTTTAGGAAATAAACTCAATTTAAGTGTTAAGATGAACTTATTAAAAATACATATATTTTTATATGAAAATAATATCTATATTAACTTTAAGCCATCTAAACTTTGTTTTATATTTTACAATATACTTTATTTTTCTTTAAAATGGTTAAATTTATATTTATATTTTATAACTCTTCAGTTTGTTATTGGACGTTCTCTTGCCTGTTCACTTGTAATTGAAGAAAAATCTATAGCACGACGACGTTGTTTTATAAATAAATCCAATGGCCAATATCTTATTTCTCACAATGTAAGACTTAAAATTTTTATTGCATGTTTATATTAATTTGGCTATCAAAGAGAATAATTAATTCTAAGTTGATTAGCAATATCTGTACTACAGGGAACAGGTAATGAAACTTATGTAAATTGTGTGCAAATTCCTAATAACCAAAATGATGATCAAGTTTTAAATCACGGAGATGTTATTTTCTTTGCAGATGGGAATGGAAGTTATAAATATCTGTACAGATTTGTTTTACAAACAAATACAGATCAAAATTTGAAGTAAGATTATTCTTAAGACATCATGTGTGTAAGTAATTTGTAGAATATGGATAAACTAATATAATCAAATGTATTATTCATTTTATTAAACGCCATCAAATAAATTGATTAATATAAACACTATATCTAAATCAAAATTATCTGAAAAATATTATTTTAATTCATTCTTTTAATATATGTCAGTTATTTTTATTATAAACTTTCTAATCGCTTAATATGATAGTTACAAAGAGTATGAACAATATTTGTTTATAAAACTTTAAATATAGATTTTACATTTAATATTGTTAAAAAATGAAAACAATTATTCCTTTTTAAATTTTAACTTTTAAACTATGACACGACTTACGTAGCAAAAAAGGTGGTCGACTCTGGTTTTGAGGGTAGAGACCCGTGGGCCGTTTATTAAATGAGCGACAACAGATTATTTTAACAAAAATAAAACAAACCGCAAACACAGTAATAATAATCTTCGCATAATATCGCGGCACTTTCGATGGCGTCGACGACGCGACGTCCGGCCTGATCCTTGGGCGACAACAGGTTAGCAGCGTTGTAGGCGACGGTGCGCGGGTGCGGATCGGTTGGTCGACGTTGTCGCTTTCACAACGGGAGGAAGACTCTCGCACTAGAGATAGAGTCGTTCGCGAACGAACGGGTCAAAATAGTGAACGAAATGGTTCAGATCACCGAATCGCAGTGATCCGGATCCCCCAAAAACTAATTTTTTCCGGTATAAATCACACTGAACCGATTCGATCGCTTACCAAATATCAATGATAACATATTCATATGTCATTTGCTTATACGACACATCCCTAATCCGAATCGCGAATCGAGAACCGCAAAAGAATCAAAACTATACTGAATGTTCGATTCAATTGACTCAAAATATCTTTTTAATCGCGAACGGGTCTTTGAACCGGATCTTCTAGTTGCCCCGATTCGAATGAATCGGATTACTTAGGCGAACCATAATTCCCATCTCTATCTCGCACCATTTGCGGCGGGTCGTCATCGGACGTGCGGTATTTGCTGGACTTTGCACCGTAGCGTATAACACGCGGTGTGGGTCAGTCAAATACTCATAGTAGGGCGACGACTGATAAAGGTGGCACGAGTCGCGGGGCATCGTGTATAACGAAGCGACGCGGGCCGTGTCAAATATGCTTTGCTCACGAAAAATATTAAAAAAAACTTGCATTCATGGTAAAATGCTTTTTTGCAAAATTCAGAATTATGCTTAAAATATTTCATTCATATATACCCTATTCTTTTAAAATTACTCTGCTATTTGTGTTTAATTTTTATAAAGTTAGATGTTTAAATTAATTGCATTTATTTTTCAGACGAAATAATGAAGTATATGGTGAAGAATATGAATCTAGTAAAAGTCTATCTTATGTTGACAATATTGTAAGTTTTAATTCTGTGGATGATCTTTTTTTTTACAATTCATTTCTTTAAATGAATACAAAAATTATATATTTATTTTTAATTTTTACTTATGATACGACCCTATTTGGGTACATATCTCATATGCCTGTTAACAGTAACCCAACATTTTAATTAGTACATATCCCATTAGAAAAAACTTATTAAAGTATAATGGAATCAAATAATTATGTTTATTAATAATAAAATAAAATAAAATAATAATCTATGGATTCAAGATATGTTGAGAATGTCCATCAGGGAGATGACAATGTGCTATAAACATAATGAGAATTATAATTTTTTAAATCACAATTAAATAATAATAATAAGTTCAAATAATATTAATTAGATGTTAAACATTCATATGGTAGGTCTCAACTGCTTGTTGCACTACATTTTCACATACAGTTTTCTGTAAGAATGTGTAAAATTGTCAGCGGGTCCCTGTATATCTATCTGTAATAAGCATGAATGCTGACCAAGCTGTTAAATGTTATTAACTGAACCAAGATTTGTGCACAAAATGTGACCGTATCACTTATTTAAATCCAATTTTTTAATTATTAGTTGACTTATTTTAGCTGAAAAGTGAAAAAGCATTAATGAAGTGTTTTCTAATTGCTAAATTAGATAATTTTTATGAAACAATTAATCAAGAATCAAAAAAAGTTAACAAATTGAAAAAAACAGTTCTAAAAGTAAATATATTTTAAGTAAAAATAATTTAACCTCTGGTTAAGTTATTTTTTATGTATGGTTAATACATATTATATTATTTTCACACAATAATAATTTTTTTTATTAACATTTACTATAATTAAAAATATATATATATAGAATGTATTAGTTTTTAAATTAGTTCTAAAATCATGTTTTATTAACCTATATTTTTGTATTAAATCATATTAAAAAAATTTTTGTCCGCAGCGTAAACTCGCCAGTAATGAATTAACAAAAAAGAATTTAGACTACCAAAATAATTTAAAAATTCAACAAGGTGATTATATAAGTATATATATTGTTATTAACTTACTTTATTTAATTTTACACTTGTTTAAGCAAAGTCACATGATATTCTTAGTATATAACATGAAATATACTGTGTCTTAATCTGGATTTATTTATCTGTATAAAATATGTAAGTGAATAACCTATGAACACTTTTTATTTATTTTTTGGATGGAGTTCACGTAATGGGGTATAAATTAATTTTGGGCTTATTTATTACTATTGTATTAAATTGAACATTAGAAACATTGGTAACAATATCATGTCCATACATTTTTGTTTATAAAACATTACATTTTTTTATATTATAACAATTATAATTCAAATCTCTAAGAAAAATATAATTTATAATGCATTGTCTTGTATGGTCTAAATTGGTTTTTATAAATATTTTAGAAACATCATCATCACGATTTAANATAATGCATTGTCATGTGTGGTCTTAATTGATTTTTATAAATATTTTAGAAACATCTTCATCACGTTTTAAAAATAAATAAATCTTATTCCTTTTATTAAATATTTTGATAAGAAAAAATATTAATTAAAAAATAAAACACCTATGGATTTAAGACATTTTTGAAAAAATTAATTTATCTTATTTTTCCTAAACTTTCAATTGTATTAAGGCTAATGTTAAATTTCATTAAAAAGAGGTATTTATCAAATTATTATCATTTGTAATTCTATTTTCTAGATAAAATTATTAAGTTAAACTTTGTTAAGTCATTTAATAGCTTCAACATACTTTAATAATTATCTTTTTTTTTTTGAGAAGTTAATTTTTTTTCTAGATCAAATATCAAAAATTGAAGAAACAATCAAAGAAAATGTTTATAGTGTTCTAGAAAGTGATTTTCAATGTTCAATTTGTAATGAATTAATGGTTAAGGTATTATTTTTACATTTAAATCCATTAATAGTAGAAATATAACACGTCATCATGTTAAAAGTTCTTAGTAAATTTATTATGTTACTTTGGTTAAATATGCATTAGGGAATACTTTTTAATCAATTTTAATATTATTAAATAATATAAAGTGATAGTAGAGATCTGAAAACTTTTTGAACTTTCTAATTCTAGAATTGTAAATAAAATTTCTGAAAAGTAAAGCTAAAATATTTTAATTAAAAAAATAATTTCTGATGAAAATTTTTTTTTTATTAGTTAAAAAAGTAAATAAATGTGTTTAAAAATTAATTTGTCTATAAAAATAACATTGTCTATATATTATTATTTTATAATTTAGTAACTTTTTTTATCCAAAATTTAAATAAGTTTTTAAATTTTGTTTTTGATAAATTAGCTTTTAAGAGACTGAAAAAAAAATCACATACTTCATAATTATACCAACAAAATTATTTTATTTTAGAATTTGAGTTTGAAGTTTAAATAAAACATATTTTATCTCAAAATGTTAGTTCAAGAAAACTTGAATTTTACGCAACCATAAATTAGATTAAAAAAATGATTTTAAATATCTCATTATCATTGGGAAATAAATAAAATTTAGTCAACAATTTTGAAAATGAATATTTTATATAAAATTTAATATATTTGTTTTTTTTTTTAGGCGTGTACAATTAATTGCAGCCATACATTTTGTGAAATTTGTTTAAATACTTGGTTGAAAAATTGTCAAGTGTGTCCTCTTTGTTGAACTTTAGTTCATACCAAAACTCTTTGTCTATCTCTGGATAACTTTATTACTAATATTTGTAATCTTCTTGGGAATGCAATAAAAGAACATCGGGAAAAATTACAACAAGAAAGTAAGTATATTTGAACATTTATTAACTTATATTTATTGTTATAACTATTTTTAGAATTGACAGTTAATGTCCCACGATTAGAGTATGCACCACAAACTGCTAGAAGAGGTGGTAGAAGAATAGGTACAACTCAATGTCGAAATACACAACTTGCACATGTTCAATAAGAAATAGTGCAAAGAATTCACGAAGTTATGTTTTGATAAATACCTGAATTTTTGACTAATGTAATACATTTTAAACTTTCTAAAAGAAAAATTACTTTTTACTCTTTCATATTTTAGAAAAATCGAACAAAATATAATTAAATAATTATAATTATTCATGTGAATTTTGTAAATAATTTTAGTTTGTTTTTGTACAACTTAGTTTAATAAACTCTTACTACATATGTAATATTTAAACTTTGAATTTAAAATTGTTAAATTTTATATAAAATTAAGATAATTTACCTTATTGTTAAAAATAAAATATTTTCTATACATTATCTCACCTATTGTATTTTAAATTTTAATTAAAAGATATTTGATATCAAGCAAAATGATAGGTGCTTTTTTAACAACTATGAGCACAGTAACATATTGTTTAATGTTTTTAATACAAATATAAATAAGCATAAATATTTTAATNTTAATTAATTAAAATTAAAATTAATCACAGATTTTTATCAATTAATAACAATACCATAAGAAGTCTTAAGATATCATTAACTGACATTTATGAAGACACAATATTCTAACTACTAAAAAAACCATGATTATAAATATTTTACAATATTATCATAATAATTTTATTTATTTATTTTTTATTTTCGAACTAAAATAATGAATTGAATATTTATAACGTGTCTAATAATTATATTGAATTATAATATATTACATATACAATGATATACAAAAAAAATTACAAAAATGTGGTTTGAAAACAACAAAAAACTACAGTGGCGTATTTTGAATGATTTCTCGAATGGTGTCCAACTTTTAATGAACCTCACAAAAGAAAATTATAGAAATGTTTACTGACGTAAAAAAAACTTACTATTTTTCTAATTACTATTTTAGGAATTGACAAATAATTTGAAATTTGAAATTTTGGTACTGTTGTATCTTAAAAGAAACAACCCTAGTGTCTTAACTTAAAGTAATAAAAGTTTAATAATAACTCAAATGTATTTATTATAGATATAATTAAACAATGCAAAACATACAAAATAAATATACACTAAAAACACAGTAAAACAATACACAAAATGAAAACTTAATGTCATAAACGTACCACGCGAAAAGAGATTACCTTCGGTGCTCCTGAGGTCCTCTCTCCTCTACGATTCATGCCATTTCGTCTTATGTACTAAAATATTTTGTTTTTCTTCTTTTTGCAAAATTAATAATACTATCGTTTTCAAAAATGTTTATAAATATTTAATTCC